TTTTGTTCTGGAATGTCATCAAAGGAAAGCAGTGTTCCTTCTGTAACTACAGGTGTAGAATCTTCATCCTCCTCTTCGTCTTCATCCTCTTCAAGAACTGGTTTTCCTCTTTCGGATGTTAAAAGTTCAATGAAATTCTTCTTGGCCGTCACATTATGTACCTTAGATGCTTGGAATCCAATACCTAGGAAGGACAAGAGCAACATTGTCACATTCAACCCAGCAATAACAAATGGATAACTTGTGAAAGTACCATCATCAGTGACAGAAATCTCATTTGTACATTTTCCAAAGTAATTCTTGAATCTCTTCTTGTAATGTTTGGAGAAGTAGAGTAAATTTCTCAACCCAAGAATACCTGCTCCTCTAAAGTCTGTTATTAATAATTATTCCGATCCAATTATTGATGAAATTGAACAAGTAAAGTTATGAAACATTATTAATAAAACAATAGTGATTACTTACCAGTTTCTGGTTTTGTGTTTTGGAATCCCAAGAATTTCCAATGTTCTCCCTCAGTTAAAATAGTCTTCTTCTGAGTACAACACTTGTAGAGTGAGAATAACAGTTTTTGATGTTTGTCATTCTCAATGTCGAACTTTTTAGAGCAATACTTTTTGAATTGTTCCAAAATTTGCTTCTTTTCAGGTTCTAAATAAATCTCTGGAGATGGGAAATCACCTCCTGCTCTTGGATTTGCATTGGATTGATTCTGTCTGAAATTCATTCCCGAGACGGCACTTGTCAATCTAGATCCTCCAATATTGGCAGTTTCTGTAATTGATGAATAAATATACTTTAACATATCGGCAATAACTTGCAAAATGTATGGACCACTCTCTTCGTTTTGTCTCTTTCTTGCCTGTTCATAATAATTATTCTTCATGGTACCAATACGTGGATCATTAGAGTATGATGATGATGATGAATTTTCATATGATTCCGAAATTGATGGCATACTATTAACCTTTCCCATATCTCTTGAACTTATTCCCTTGTATTTATCAATATTACTATTCGATGCAGAGTAATTCAATCGATTATTATCATAATTATCTGATGTAACAACAGGAGAGGAATCACCATCATATATACCCGATGATTGATAACCTCCTCCAACAGGAGAACCTGTACTCGATGTTGATGATTGTGTTCTTGTGTGTTGTTGCTTTTTTCCATATCCAAAAGTTACATTTCCGCCACCACCACTCCCTGTACTCCCCGTACTCGATGATGAGAATGTTCTATTATGTTGATTCTTTGTCTTGCTACTACTCTTCTTCTTGGTCGATTTCTTATGTTCAATAAAATCAGAAGTTTCCTCGTCATCATCATCCAATAATTTCTTTGGTGATGGATCGGAAAACTCGTCCATCAATGCTTCTCTTTTTCTCATGTTATTGTTATTATTGGTTCTCTTTATTTACACTTTCAAAATCGCTAGCCTTTGATCTTCTTCTTGGAGTGAACAAGTTTGCTTGATTTTTCTTTTGTTTTGGTGACAAGTAATTTTTTCTAGCTAAAATTTTAGTGATGAAATTTCTGGCTTGTTGATTTCTCGGAGATTGTTTTTGGTGACGTTGTTGCTTGCATCATCATTGTGATCGCATTACAAAATAAATATGCAATTAAGGAGTGAAAAGACAAGACTTAACACCAACGGAAGGAATATGATAACTTACATTTAATACATTTAATTCTGTTGTTAACAAAAAAGACTACAGCACCACAGGTTCCCAAGTTGTCTCCAACCTCAGTACTGATGTGGCTCTACGATGCTTAACTTCTCAAATCGGACGGGATGAGGTGCATTCATCGTGATATGGCCGTAGCCATTCGATTACTTAAAGTGTGAAATATAAATGTATTCACTCCTTTTTCTTTACCTTTGTTTTCTTTCTTTAAACTAACCTTTGGTCCATTGTCATATTTACAATAGTCCCACAATAAATAGAAAACCTGCTACA